AAAACCATCAGTTTAGAGCCAAAATGTGCAAAAGAGGAAAGCATTTTAGTCACCGACAAAATTCACAAGCCAAACAGTAAATAAATCAGGGCTGAACACAGTATTACAATCTCCTAATGTTCCCCAAGCAATGCTGCAAAATGCAGCTTTGCCTTGTAAAAGTATTAATTCAGCCCTCGCAGAAATTCCCTGTACTTTTTGGAAAATAGAGCGAAAAATTAATTATATCCATGCTACAGGTTAAGTAAAAAAAAATAAATTGCCTATAGCTGAGGGCTGTGTTAGGTTAGCGTGGGGTTTTTTGGTCAATGCCTCTTAGGAAGTAGTCTAACAGTAAATCTGATTTACCTACGAAGCACAGGGTAGAGTCGAAGCGGCCAGCCTGATACAGCATTAAAGCGACTGCCTAATTGTAAGCATGCAAATACCCACATTAGGGCCAACAGAGCTATTCCTGTGCCCAAAGCGAGGCATTCGCTTGAGTACTTGCTGGACTGGAGCTGAAGACTTCATGGCGATGCCCCGTGCCAGGGTGCAGGAGGGAGCTGCACAAGCGCGGGCAGCACAGCTGCACAGGCAGGGGGGCGAGCGGAGGTTTCTGCTCTGGCACTGCAGTGCTCAGCCCGACAGACCGACTTTGCGTGCTGCTGAGCTCAGCGACAGCTCGTATGCCCTGCTGCAAGGCATGGGGACGAGGAGCAGGCACTCTGCTCGCCCTGCCAGCCCTCGCGCTCACCAGCAGAGCAGCGTGGAGGAGCAGCCAAGAACAAGCCTCCATGCTGGCGTTCATCATGCTTCAGCAAGGCAGGTCACCATGTGGACTCCTGCAACGTTTACAGAGTTCACCTGAAGATTTCTTTTTAATCCTGGGATTACTCAAAATTACAGGAGGTACCATATGATCCAACAGAAGTCTAGCAAGGCAGGTTTCATGACCTGCAATACCAGGTGAAGGCTCTCCAAGGGGAGCACAGAACTAATTGTAATGAGTTTATCAATGGATACCTCTCTTCAGAAAGCCATTCCTTGCACAACTTGACAGAAACCTGTGTGTGCATGCAGCAACTTTCAGGCTGATGACCTAAATCCATGCACTGATGTGGTAGGGAACGGGGTCTTACTGTGGTGTCTCCAGAGAAGTGGCAGGGATGCACAGGTGAGAAGACAAGGTCTGACAATGTGGCACTGTGGTAGCAAGGTGGCCTGAGACACTGGCCTCATTATTCCAGTGTAATACCAGTGACATGGTCATGACATAAAAACTGTATTTACTTGTTGTTGTTATTACTTTGCCAAGGCAGATCAGTCTGAGGCTATCAAATCACACGATACACAAAAGTACGCTTACTTTATACCCTAGCACAAACTTTTTATTCATACAGACTTTTGTGAATGAACATCTCCGTTAGCAGTTTCCTTCAGCAGTCTTCCCCGAAGGGATATTCGCCTAGCAGTAAATATAGCAGTCAAACAAAGAAGGAGTAAAAGGAACAATTTGCAAAGAACTGTATCCCAGTAAACTGCATGCATGAAATGAAACACAAAGGAGAAAAAATCAAAAGCTTGCAAAAATTAACTCAAAACAAAGCAAGAGTGGTCCCAAATTACAAAGTCCCACTGGGGATCAAAGTGCACTGAAGATTTTTATTAGTTATTACAAATTATGATTATTTTTTTTTTAACTTTTTTGATCACATGTATTTTAAAAGAAGTTTTAATTTGCTCCAGCACTAAGACGTTCCCCACATGTTTCAGCCTGGAGCACATTTTAATGGCTTAGTTATAAATCCCTGAAATTAGGGGTTTATAATGGAAACACTGGCAGGCCCTTATCTAATATAGTGCAAGCGTCTTAGCAATATAGTCAGAGTTTGTAGTTAGGTGAGCGCAGCAAAAATCTTTTTTGTAGCAAGTAATGACAGGAACTCAGCAGAAGTGAGTAACGTGTAAATCACGGCCTGGGCTCGCTTATTGTTTGAGTCTACAGTGCAGCTGGTACCTCCCAAGGGGCACCCACAAGTCTGGGCCTCATAACTTGCATTGTGTAGTTAGGGTTAACACACGAGCTGCCCTTCCAGGTCACCTTTCTGACTTTCTTTCCCTCGCACCTATAGGTTTACATCAGGCTATTCAATAAGCAGTTTGCAAATCATATGGTTTAAAAGTTTTCCACACTCAATATTAATTTTAACATAGATTCTGCTACTGGGTGTGTTACTCAGTTTCGGGAGCTGTTGAAATAACATCATTTTCTTTGTTTCTTCATGATTGTGAGCTTTGCATAAAACACGTAACTAACAGCTTTCGATCTATTTATGATCCAAGTTCTGACTCCTTCAGAAGACAGCAGAACTACTGAGAAAACGCTACTTTCTACATCACACCTCAGCCAGCTGTCACTCAAGTACACGTTACCCTGCGAAGTTTGCTAATTAATGTGTTGTCCAGAAGGAGAGGAGCACTGATACTAGACATGCTTACGAGGTGACATGGGTATGATAGGCAGATGTTGCTCTGCAATGACAGCAGTCTTCTGACAAAAAAACCAGCAAGGATCACTCTGCCTTTTTGTTATTTTTAAGGGTACCTTACCTTGTTTAACTGAGTATTCAAATGCAAATCACAATCATTTAACATTACCACAGCCCTCTTTAAAAAAGAGGCACTGAATCAACAAAAGCCGCATGTTTTGTAGGAGTGGTGGCTTACATCAACTGATGATGTTCCAGTAGTAATACTCATTCCAGCACTAAAGAACAAAAGATGGAAATGCAATGCAAGCTCCAGCTTTCATGTAAATTGGTCCTTGTAACCAAAATTCATTATCATGACAATCAGATTTGCAAGAAGCAAAACTTCAAAACATTGCAACAGTAAAACTCATGTTTAAGTTCCTAAAGTTTTGGTATTAGTATTTGTTTTGGTATATGCTCCATGGAGCCTCTACACTAGGAGGAAATTTTTCATATCGAGGAAGGAATGGAATTTTTCATCCCTTTGAAGCCCGACCATGTATCTCTGGAAAGTGGTTTGCTTGGTTATACATGAAAGTAGATTAGAAACCCAACCTAGGAGATCCTGGTGACTTCCCTAACTACAAAGACTAACAAGACCAACCCTTACCCACTGAAAACCAAGATAACTGTCATTACCTTAACCAAACGCAGCCTCAGGCCCCAGGATGTGTATTACATTAGCATCTCATTCAATTAATAGGAGACAATTCCAGTGACAAAATCTAGTCATTCATTAGACTTAGAATCATTCCAGCTCTTGGGAGTTTGACGCCCCTGACATGCAGTCATATACCACCTAGATGAAGCAGGTAGTTAAGAACTAAGCTTTAAGCTGATAGGTAGGATAGAGAGAAAAAATTATTTGACCACAAGGTAAATCAGTGTCAGAATTAGGCAAAACATCATGAAGGCTTTATTTTTAGCCCTCTAAACCTAAATGTTTAATGATAACGTTAAAGCTAGCCCAAACAGTCAGAGGTATGTGCCTATATCGAGTTTGTGTACAAACCCCTGACACATCAAAGAATATGCATATGTGTTTAAGTGTGCATCTGTTTGAAAACTTGGGCCAATGTGGAAAATCCTATTATCAGGAAAAAAAAAAATACAATGGGGAGCTCTTCGGCTAATGTGAACCACTGTAATTCTATTGACAGCAATGGATCTGTGTTGACTTACACCAGCTGAGGATCTAATTTCATACGCCTTAGAAAACTGAGGCAACTTTTTCCATAGATGCTCAAGAGTTTCTATACTTCTGCGGGGATCAACTCCAACTAGTAGGTCAGCAGGTGCTGAGTTTGCTTTGAATCTGAAGTCCAGTCACACAGAAGGATACCAGGACACGTCATCTAATTTTTACTGACCCACAGAGATTCCCTTCTAGTATGGCTGTAGGATTCATCTATTTTCTGCTTTTGTCTAGTGGGAGATACGTGTTTCTTTGAGAAAACAGAAACCTTTCTTCAAGATAACAAAGTGAGAACCTGACCTGGACCACAAGCCCAGCTGAATGAGAATCATGGAAGCAGAAAGGGTGAACAGAAAACGTTTTGCCAGGAATATACCAGGACTCCCAAATACCCAGAAAGATGTCTTCTGTTTTTAGCCATTATTAGACTGATTTGCAAAAAACAACAGCTAATCTGCAGCTATCCAAAACCCACAGGTCTAAACTCTGCTCACACCTTTCCATGCAATTTTCTTTCC